TTTTTTAAAAAAAAAACTTTTTTTTTTTTTTTTGAGACAGAGTCTTGCTCTGTCTTCAGGCTGGAGTGCAGTGGCACGATCCCAGCTCATTGCAACTTCTATTTTCCTGTTTCAAGCAATTCTCCTGCCTTAGCCTGCCGAGTAGCTGGAACAAGAGGCACACACCACCACACCCAGCTAATTTTTTGTACTTTTAATAGACAGGGTTTCACCATGTTGGCCAGGATGGTCTTGATCTCTTGACCTCGTGATCCGCCCGCCTCAGCCTCCCAAAGTGCTAGGATTACAGGTGTGAGCCACTGCACCTGGCCTTGTTTTTTTTTTGAAATGGAATCTTGCTCTGTAGCCCAGGCTGGAGACAGTGGCGTGATCTCAGCTCACTGCAGCTTCTGCCTCCAGGGTCCTGGTTCAAGCACCTCTCCTGCCTCAGCCTCCTAAGTAGCTGGGGTTACAGGCACATGCCACCATGCCCAGCTAATTTTTGTATTTTTAGTAGAGATGGGATTTCACCATGTTGGCCAGCCTAGTCTTGAACTCCAGACCTTGTGATCTGCCTGCCTTGGCCTCCCAAAGTGCTGAGATTACAGGCGTGAGCCACCATACCCGGCCTTTTTATGTTTTTTGAGATGGAGTCTTGCTTTGTCGCCCAGGCTGGAGTGCAGTGGTGTAATCTTGACTTGTTACAACCTCTGCCTCCCAGGATCAAGCGATTCTCCTGCCTCAGCCTCCCGAGTAGCTGGGATTACAGGTGCATTCCACCACGCCCAGCTACTTTTTGTATTTTGTGGGGTTTTTTTTGTTTTTGAGATGGAATTTTGCTCTTGTCACCCAGAGTAGAGTGGAATGGCAAGATCTCAGCCCACTGCAACCTCCGCCTCCCGAGTTCAAGACATTCTCCTGCCTCAGCCTCCCGAGCAGCTGGGATTACAAGTGCCCACCACCGTAAACATATAACATATACAATTCTACTTTTAGTAGAAATGAGGTTTCACTATGTTGGCCAGGCTGGTCTTGAACTCTTGACCTCAAGTGATCTGCTAGCCTCAGCCTCCCAAAGTGCTGGGATTATAGGCATGAGCCACCACTCCCAGCATTTTCTTGTTGTCAAATGTAAGTAGTATACTTGCTTCTGTCAGATTCAGGGCGTTTTATTTGTGCTCCATATAATATCCATTTTTACCTTCCCCAAGGACTTTGGTACTGTCGTTTTCCTGACACCACTCTTGTGTCATCATAGTCTTCTCTTTTTTTTTTTTTTTTTTTTTTTTGAGATAGAGTCTTGTCCTGTTGCCCAGGCTGGAGTGCAATGGCATTATCTCAGCTCAGCACAACCTCTGCCTCCCGGGTTCAAACAATTCTCCTGCCCCAGCCTCCCAAGTAGCTGGCATTACAGGCGCCCATCACCATGCCCAATTAATTTTTGTATTTTTAGTAGAGACAGGGTTTTACCACATTGGCCAGGCTGGTCTCAAGCTCTTGACCTCATGACCCACGAGCCTTGGTCTTCCAAAGTACTGGGATTATACAGGCGTGAGCCACCGCACCTGGCCAATGGTCTTCTCTTTTTATCTTTCCTGTCAATAAAGAAACGTCTTACCATTTTAAAACATCAACACTGCTCCACCCCCACCTTTGGGTTCACATCACTCACTAGTTATGGACCTTCTCTTTGCCATTTGACATATCAGAACCTCTGAAAGAGTTATTCTCACTTGCTTTTTCACCCCCCATTCACTTGTCCAGCCTCTCAAATTTAGATTCTATCCCCACTCTTCCGATGAAACTGCTCTCCTCAGAGCCATTCGTTATTTTCACATTGCCAATTCTAGAATACATTTCTCCTCACATTCTCCCTCTTACCACTTTTCCTGCCCCCTTTCTCCTTTGATGGCCCTTCCTTGATGGGCTTCAGGGCTTAATTCTAGACTACCATCTTTTCTCTTTCTGGATTCTCCCATCCATTATATTACTTTAAATATCTTGTACATGTTTAGTGAATTCCATATTGATATTTCTAGTCTGACTTCTCCCCTGATTTCATTTGTGTATCAGACTGCCTGTTTGACATCTCTACTGGAAGGAAAATCATACTTAGATGTTCGAAAAATAACTTTGGATTCCTTTAGCCCCCATGACATACACTCTTCTCCCCAACTTGCCCATCTTAGGAAGTGGTATCACTGTCCCTCTAGTTGCTCATACCAAAAACCTAGTAGGAATCATCTTATATTCCCCATTTTTCTCATTCTCTGCATCAAATCCATTAGAATGTCCTGTTAGTTTTACCTTCAGAATATATTTCAAAGTCTTTGCCTCATCCCCACTGTTGCTATTCTAGTCCAAGCCAGCATATTGCTTACTTGATTCTTCTATAGTATAATAGGATATTATATCTTCACTCTTTATAATCCTTTTGTGGTTCCCAAGTCCTGCCAAGATCAAGGCTTATTCATTCTCTAGAGAAGTGAAAATTGGTCTGAGTATCCTAGGATGTTGTTGATCCCTTCCAGAATTTAATTAAATTGGGGAAAGAAGATTTGGGTTTTTTAATGCATGTGACTACTGAGAAAAAACCATCATGTAGAATTCAAATATACTTACCTTACATTCTTTGCAATGGATTGTAAAAACTTTAGATCTAATTGACATCTTCATTTTTGTCAAAATGATTAGAGATGAATGTGATCTCCAATAATTATTTTTAAAGACCTCAAACAATAGCATTGGATAAGCTCTCCTATAATAAACTCCCAGGTATTGATTTGTCTTACTCTTGAGCATTCGAGTTGGCCCCTCATCTGCTTTTGATCAGGGTTCTCTTTTTGGGTCACACAGTCTTCCAGGGAGCCTAACTAGACATAAAGTTAATTGGTTCACCTTCAGTCAGATATTTACAGCGTTTATACCAAAAGTAGTAATCATGAAGGTCAAGCCTTCACAGCAGCTATTCCAGATGAAGTCATGGGAGTCAAGAGGACAATCGCTTGAAACGTCTTGGAGAGTTCATCAGAGCATCACATCAGCTCCTCATGTCTGTCTCTGGTTTGCCAAACTTAAAGCCTTCACTACGAAACAGAAAAAAATGGTAGTATAGAGGCATACTTTCATCTATCCTGCTGTTGATTATACATAGCAGTAGCAGTGGTTTTAAAATAAGATTGGGTGCTTCTCCCAAATCTGTCTTCCTGCAAGTCATTCTTAAGGCTTTTACTCAATATAGTAGGCACTCAAAGAACAAATAAGCTGAAATAGCGTAATGTGGCTTCCTAGATACAGAGCTTGCTTTTTAAGTTTGCCTATGAGCATAGCTGAGAGCTTAGGAGGTTGCCTCATCTATTATTTTAGATCAGTAATGGGTAAAGGTAGAGATCCCTACCACCTTCGGCTCTTTTCTATACCCCACCCTTCTTTTTTTACTGCCTCTGAAAGTATATAAACAGGTATATAAACACAAAAGTGAAAATATTTTCTACCATGTAGTCTTTCTATCTGGTGTCCAAGCTGTATTCTGTTAATTAGTTTGAAAGACTATACAGTGAGATATACAGTTTTCCCATTCCATTTTCAAAATGTTCTAACTTTCTAACCTGGTGATATTATCTTTCTTTCAGTTATGACATGCACCGATTACATCCCTCGCTCATCCAATGATTATACCTCACAAATGTATTCTGCAAAGTAAGTTGCATAATTATTTCCAAAATGCGTATGCTTTTTTTCCTCTAGATTCATTGCAAAATTTAATATTATTTTTACTTCTAAAATAATAGATATCTAAATTATTTTTACCTTGCTTATTCTGTCATTATTCCAATTTTTTATTCCCTCTAAATATAGTCTGTGTAGTATCCTTTTAGAAAGTAGATGGTGGCCTACAATAGATCGTTTTACATAAAAGCTTACTCTAAAATTAGTAGACACTGAACATGCAAAATAGTGTTAGTGATCAAGCAGATCATTGATTGACCTTTAATCATTCTCTCTGTCTTCTACCTTGACATACAGATTAATAAAAACAAGACTGGGATTTCTCAGTCCAATCTTTTTATTGTTTTTTGGTTTTTTGAGACAGAGTCTCACTCTATCACTCAGGCTGGAGTGCAGTGGCATGATCTTGGCTCACTGCAACCTCCACATCCCAGGTTCAAGCGATTTTCCTGCCTCAGCCTCCCGAATAGCTGGGACTACAGGCACACCACCACACCTGGCTAATTTTTGTATTTTTTAATAGAGACAGGGTTTCACCATGTTAGCAAGGCTGTTCTCGAACTCCTGACCTCATATGATCCACCCACCTCGGCCTCCCACAATGCTAGGATTACAGGCATGAGCCACGGCGTCCAGCCTATGTTCAGTTTCTTGATTGAGGAATGTCCTCAGAGTAGAACTGGTTTGAAGTTAGACAGATTTGGTGGGTTAAAGTCACTAAGAGGTAATGTTTTGGGCCTTCATGGGTTAAGATCAGCATTAATATTAGCCAGGTTATTCATCTTCAAGATGGGTAGGTGCAGAACAGTGTGTATACCAAGCTACCTACTGTGCGTAATAAAGAGTGGACCTATGCATACAAAGACACCTACAAGTGCATTTATTAAGCCAGGCTATGTTCTTATGTGCTTACAGCTGCTGGATGCATAAAGAAATTGGTAACAGAAGCAAGAGATACTTTATGGTGTTGTTATGAAAAGGAAGCTATCTTTCTTTTTCCTGATTATATCCATTTGTACCTTTTGAATTTTGCATTAGTTAAAAAATAAACTAATTAAAAAGTCAACCCGGCCGGGTGCAGTGACTCATACCTGTAATCCTAGCACTTTGGGAGGCCAAAAAAAAAAAAAGTCAACCCAATGAGTTCTTCACATTTTAATCTGGTATTAACACTAATGGTGTCTTTGGGCTAATCATTTCCATGTGGCATTCTTCTGTCAAATTACTGAATCTATTCTGAGATTATTATGAAGAAATTAGATACTAAATGTGAAAATATTTGAGCTTTGGGCTACAAAGACACTGAATAAAAAGGACACTATGGTCTTTACCATATCTGGAGATTAATCCATTTAAGGTCACTAAGATTTAAATCATTCCCATGTGACTTGAGTAACAACTCTAACCTGAGCTATTTCCTGGACTCAGATCTGGCTAAGAAGAATAGACATTTTTAAATTAGTTGTTTAGAATCTACTGAAATGTGAATATGTTGCAGATTCCAAATTCATTTATTCATTCAGAAAGTATTTGCATACCTGCTACATTCAGAATACCTTATTAGCTATACCTTCTATCTTAATTCAGACCTTTTTTGTTACTTATCTAAACTTTTTTTTAACTGGACCTCCATTTCCAGTTTCTCCTCCCTTTCTAAACCATTTTACAAAGCAATGTCAAATTAATCTTTGTTAAAGAACAGCTCTAATCTTGTCACTCTTTGCTCAGTAATTTCAGTGGCCCTCAGTTTCAGATTTGCCTTTTAGCTTGGCACTCAAGGTCTTTGCTCTTTCTCTCACTATTTGACTTCTCTTAATATACTTCCTTCAGCAGTCTGTGCTCTTTGCAGGCTTAAGCCCTTGCTTTCCTTCCTCTGTACCCTGGCAGGGCTTTTTTCTTGTCCTAGAACACGCTTTCTCTCCCAGTTCAGTACCTCTTATCTGCTCAGCTTGTATATCACTTTTTTATGGCCTTTCTTCTTTTTCTGTTACCCCAAAGGTGAAAAAAACTTTTTTAAAAAGTTTTTTTAAAAAACACCCCCCGCTCTCCCTACCATACTTTATTATGACTTATATGGTACAAATAGCATTTTCTTTTTTACATTACACATACAGTGTAACTTACCAAATGAAATAATTGGCATCTAAAAATTCAGTGCAATATCATGGATGAAATGACCATATCCACTAGCCAGTGTAAATAAAGTCCCAGGAGTTTCACTGCTGAATCCTTATCTCTAGTTATCCCAGATATGGTGGAACCAACTAGTGGCAGTATGCCCTGACTTAAATATCAGTGAGGAGATTGAATCCTGTCTGGAACTTCCCAGATTTTGTTACTTACCTGGATTCTGTTTTGTAGGCTTGATTTGAGGATATTGGGACCTATCTCTACTTCCCGTTTTTTGATGTGTTTGCTTGTCTTTTCTCCACCAGCCTCACCCTCTTTTCCAGTCTCACTTTCCCTCTCAGAACTTTAGTTTGGTTCAAGGGGTGGGGTGGAGAATGAGAGCCACTTGCCAATCTTGTTCTATCCAATTTTCTATTATATTAGGATTTTATTCTAGATGTAGGCACAAGGGCATGAACAAGTAACATCCTTGTGTCTCACATAGGGCCATGCATGTAGCACACTAGAAATGTTTGGAACTTGGAAGGATGTTTGAAATTTAAATTTTTCATAAAATTGTTCCTTGGGTTGATGATAGTAGAACCTGGAAACCAGGAGGAAAGGGTTCTACTTTCTGACCATAAAAGCTATTTTAGGCTGTGCGCAGAGATTCACACCTGTAATCCCAGCACTTTTAGAGGCCGAGGCCAGCGGATCACTTGAGGTCAGGAGTTCGAGACCAGCCTCGAGTTTTACATGGTAAAACTCTGTCTCTACTAAAAATACAAAAATTAGCTGAGTGTGGTGGTGGGTTCCTGTAATCCCAGCTACTTGGGAGACTGAGACAGAATTGCTTGAACCGGGGAGGCGAGGCTGCAATGAGCCAGGACCGTGCCACTGCACTTCGGCCTGGGCGACAGAGCAAGACTCTGTCTCAAAAATAAAAATTTTTTAAAAAGAGTGCTTTTATGTGGAAGGTTAGTCTCCTTGTTGCAGATTCTTTGATGTTAGTGGTGGTAGCTGTTTTACCTATTTTCCATTACTAAAGTAAATCACATGAAAGTTTTTGTTTTCTTGAAATTTTCTAGACCTTATGCACATATTCTCTCAGTTCCTGTATCGGAAACTGCTTACCCTGGGCAGACTCAATACCAGACACTACAGCAATCTCAATCTTATGCTGTCTACCCTCAGGCAACCCAAACGTATGGACTACCTCCTTTTGGTAAGGCACCCTATTGTATATGCTTTTTAAGAATGTTGATTTTATTCCCCAGAAACTTTGATCAGCCATGCTTGCTTGACTGATCAGAAAGTTGAAAGATGCATCATTCTTTATGGAGCACTTAGTTACATATGTGGTTGGGTATGCAACTTTGCAACAGTATGTTTGATACATGTAATTTTAAAATCATAGTTTTTCAGTACTCATTTAGCTATTTTGTATGTACTAAGTCTTGACCCTGAAGCTTGGAATCTAAGTGTTTGGTAAACTCTTTGAGGAATTGCTATTGATTTGGCTTATATACAATATAATATGGTACTATTATTAGGAAATCATAATAAATATATTTTGAGGTGGCCAATTTCTTGCTAAAACCAGGTAGTCTAAATATGCATCATAGTTTGCTCTGTGGGTTTTGTTTTTATTTTTTGCCACTTTCTCCCTCTCCTTTCTCCCCTGACCCCACCCAAAATTGATCAGATATTGTTCTGCTGAACCAAAAAGTCATTTTAGAATGCCAAAAATCCTCAGTTTTCTTATAACCTTATCATGTGCCTAGGGAGTTATTTTCATTGGTTCTAGGTGTCCTGGACATGAACTGTAAATTAAAATTATTTATCAGAAGTTACTTTAAGGTTCTTTGGTCACTTAATATCTGTGTTTATTTTTCTATGTGCATATAAATGCAGTGTGCTTCATTGCCCCTTCCCTGCTCTCCTGACATGGGTATCAGAAAATTAAGAGAATACTATATTATTTAAAAATATGTAATATGTAACAAAATTATATTTCTGTAGACTTTATTGAAACAAGCTAGGAATTTGAAAAATTTTCCAGACAGATCACCACATAGATTCTGGATGTATTGGTGTACCTGCGTCTAGTTCCTATATTCCTGTTTCTCCTGACCCGTTTGGCTACTCTTATTTAATATTGGCAGCTTTCTTACTTTTAGGCTTGTTAGAATTCTTTGGCTCCTGGTAACTGCTAGAAACAAAAATTGGAAGTTATGTTTAATAATAGTGGGGTTGATAACTTCATGTAAGATGGGAAACAAATTCTCTTGTTTCCCCCTTTGTACATCCATGTTTCCATGCCTTTTAGTACCTGCCAGGGTGTTGAGATCTTATATTTATGATATGATTAACCAGCCAACACTGAGTGGACCTTTTGAAAGGAGAACCCTCTGTGAATATGTTTGTGTTTATTTCTTATTGGTTATTTAAAGCTGATTTTTCAACAGTTGACTAATAATAGGCTATCAATTATAATATTTTTACATAGTTTTGATTTGAATTATTAGCAAGTCCTTTACAACAGTTGATCATTCTTGCTGTTCAATATTAAATACAACTCTTATTATATCTCTGAGCATGATTTATGGAATACCTAACAATTCTATATGCGTATGAATCCTAGGTATAATTTTTTTTAATGATAACTATATCTCCCTTAAATTCTTTGTTTTTTGTTTTTTTTTTTTTGAGACAGAGTCTTGCTCTGTGCACCACCAAGCCTAGCTAATTTTTGTATTTCACCATGTTGGCCAGGCTGGTCTCAAACTCCTTACCTCAAGTGATCTGCCCACCTTGGCCTGCCAAAATGCTGGGATTCCAGGCATGAGCCACCACATCGGGCCCACTTTGGGCAGATCACTTGATACCAGGAGTTCGAGACCAGCCTGGCCAACATGGTGAAACTCCTGTCTCTGCTAAAAATACAAAAAAGTTAGCCAGGCATGGTGGCAGGCACCTGTAATCCCAGCTACTCAGGAGGCTAAGGCATGAGAATCACTTGAACCTGGAGTCAGAGGTTGCAGTGAGCCAAGATGGCGCCACTGCACTCCAGCCTGGGCGACAGAGCAAAACTGTCTCAAAAAAAAAAAAAAAAAAAAATCTTTTTAAAAATACATTAAAAAAGAAAAATAATTCTGTAAAGTAAATAGATCTCTGTTAAAATCTTGAAGGATACCTATTTATATTGTATGTTGGTAATATTGTAACAGGCTTCTTTAATAGTCTGATTTTGTTTAATATTTGAGGGCAAGGAAGACTTGTATTTCACAATTTCTTCTATCAGTAATTCAGAGAGAGATAATCATTAGCTTAAATTTGACTTTAAGTAATGTATGAGACTTACTGCAGAGAGATTTTGGTTGGGGTAATGTGAATGATAGATATGGCATATTTTAATAATTTACCAAGGAAATTATAAGAGAGGTTTATAAAACTTTTAAAAGTGACTATTTGAAAAGATGTTTTCTTGTGTTTTATCATGTGACTTTTTTTCCTAACTATTCAATTAAGTAGGAGAAAACACTTGATTTCTTTCTTTCAAAAATCAAGGTTTTGATACATTGTGTCGTCTTAATGCTGCCCATTTTCAGATTAGCTAGTTTGTTTTATTTCAAATGCAAAGGGAGCTTTAGAAAAATTCATTATACTATTATTTTTATTATTTACTATAGCAAGCTATATACTGAGTACTTCACATGTTATAGTATTGGCTTATTTAATCCTCAGAACAGCCCTAGGAGGTAAGTACTAACTTTATCCCTTTTTATAGGGGAGAAACTGAGGCTTAAATCATGTGCCCAAAGTTCATACAATTAGTAAATACCTGGGATTATAATTGAACCCAGGTTTGTTTCATTCTAGAAGTGCTCCTAACTTTAGGTCTAGATCAAAAAGATGGTCTCATAGTTGAGTTTGAAATTTAAAAGCTTCCTCCTCTTAAAGAAAGGAGAACAGACTAGAATAAATCTAAGAAGGCTATATGATGAGTAATCTTTTAAAGTTAAGAAATACTGATCATATTCTTTCCAGAGCTGTATACAAATGTGGTGGGATGGCAGAATGGGGATTAGAAGTTTAACTGCTAGGAATCCAAAGGAGTATGTGTAAGGAAAAGGGTACTTGTTTATTGTTAGTGGGGTTCATAAAATATGCCTTTAGATGTCACTGTTCTGATTACTTTTAAAAGAACTTTAATGTGAGTTGGAGGAGTGGGCAATATGCATTAAGGTTGTTCATTTCATTTCCCTCAGTAATTTCACTTCTGGGAATTTATCCTATGGAACTAATTAGAGATACCCACAAAAATGTGATGACTAACATATTCATTGAAGCGTTATTTATAATATGAAAAAATAGAAAGCAACCTAAAAATTGAATATTAAGATATGAGTTAAATTGTATATGGCTGTTGTGTAGCCATTATAAATCATGTTCTTAAAAAATATTTAGGGTCTTGAGAAAACAGTATATTATTAATTGAAAAAAGCAGTACGTAACAGCAAAAACATAATGTAATACTAATTTAGTATTTTTAAAAATATGTATATAGCCAGGTGCACTAGTACATGCCTGTAGTTCTAGCTGCTTGGGAGGCTGAGGTAGGAAGATCACTTGAGCCCAGCGTTCTAGGCTATAGTGCGCTATGCTGATTGGGTATCTGCGCTAAGTTCAGCATCAATATGGTGACCTCCTGGGAGTGGGGGACCACCAGGTTGCCTAAGGAAGGGCGAACTGGGCCAGATCAGAAAAAGAGCAGGTTAAAACTCTAGTGCTGATCAGTAGTGAGATCATGCCTGTGAATAGCCACTGCACTCAGGTTTGGACAATATAGTGAGACCGTGCCTCTAAAAAGAAAAAAAAAAGTGCATAAAGGATAATTGGAAGTAAAAAGTGGTTGTCTTTCCTGTTACAGATGTTTAAAAAAAATATTTACATATACTTTGTTTATAATCAGGAAAAGTACTTAGACTAAATTACTATTTATAATAGCTTATTCAAATGAGCTACTGAATCAACATGTCCTTTCATGTGCTTTTTCTAGCAGAGATATGTGCTTCAATTCCTCATTAGACTGATTTCTAAAGATCACTATATGAGTTACTATAAATTGAACTGATGAGATTAGTTTGGTTAGTGACTAATTAATAGTGAAGTACTTGTGCTGAGAAACTTGGGCAAAGTTTGTGCTAAGACCCCACTGTGGGGGCAGCAGGAAAGCACTCAGAGACAGACTTACTTTCCCATTGTTAGCCTGACAGTTTCTCTACAGCAGGCTCTTTGTGCTTAAAAATACTTGAGAAACTTTGTAGTTGTTGACATAGAGCAGTGGACTGGTAGGTAATTAGGGTTTGGGTTTCGTTATGAACAATAGTGCCTCGGAGTCAAACCATTGGGTCATGCTGCCTATTATCTGGAATTGTGGGAGGGGTGCTTTTAGAGGAAGATAATTTGCATGTCTAAAGAGCCAGGTCTACAGTGATGCTGGAGGCACTGTCTGTATTATCTTTTATTCCTTATAAAATAATTATATATTAAACATCTATTTTGTGTTTCTGGCCAAAGATACTCAAAACTAGGAGTGTTCTAATTTTTTATCTTCTTACAGGGAGACTGTCAAAACATTCTCAGTTGATACTATTACTAATAATGTATTATTTTCACATAGTGTGAAAATAAACATGTTTATAAATCTAACACCTTAGGGCCAGAACCTATTTGGAAAAAGAAATCATGGTAATTGCAATAAATTGGAAAGTTATTGTGACGTTGAATGGCAATTAATTTACCAAAAATTGTGATACACAGCCAGCAGGAATCATAGCACTGATATTCACATTTTACATTGTAAATATTTAAAAAATAACATTCTTGAATATTTTTATTGTTGAAAATCAAACATAGCAAGAACCTTAGCTATGGCTAATCTGGACAAGACATATTTAAATGATCATGAATTATGATGGGGCAAACGCTCCTAATTCATGCTAGAGATGTCAGTATTCCTTAGTCTCTTAAAATAAGTTATTTCATGTGATTAATAGATGAGAAAAGAATATTACATTTTCTTTTTTTATGCAACAGAGTTTGGGGCAAGGCAGGGCACAGTTACTCACGCATTTAATCCCAGCACTTTGGGAGGCCAAGGCAGGAGGATCGTTTAAGGCCAGAAGTTTGAAATCAGCCTAGGCAATATGACAAAACCCCGTCTCTGCAAAAATACAAAAAGTAGCCAGGCATAGTGTGCCTGTGGTCCCAACTATTCGGGGGTTTAAGGCAGGAGGTCCCTTGATCCCAGGAGGTTGAGGCTGCAGTGAGCTGCGATTATACCACTGCCCTCCAGCCTGGGCAACAGAGCAAGACCCTGTCTCAAAAAAATTAGAGTGTGGGGCAAAGTGATTATCATATCCCACTATCAACCTTTTTAAGACTTTCGTATTTCTCTTTACTATTCTTAAACATGCTTATCAACAAATTGGACAAATCTGAGTTGCACTGAAGTATCTCAGTGCCCTGGTGAAGCAGAGGTTCTCATTCTCAAAGTATTATATTTTTAATTACATATATGTGTTGATTGGCTATAAATTCAATCACTCCTGGTTTATCAGAGTAGGAGCAAATAAATGAGATGAGTTAACATTGAGTTTGAAGTCATGGCTAACCTTAGTATTGATTTCATACATAGAATATGTTTGGTTGATGAACCTTCTTAGACCTTATTATCAGCTTCAACTATACTAGCCCAGCAACCATAGCTGTTCAGAACACAGTGAACAACCAGTCATTAAAAAGAAAATAAAAATGGGCTGGGCACAGTGGCTGGCACCTGTAATCCCAGCACTTTGGGAGGCTGAGGCAGGCGGATCACGAGGTTGGGAGTTCGAGACCAGCTTGATCAACATGTGAAACCCTGTCTCTACTAAAAATACAAAAATTAGCCAGGCATGGTGGTGGGCGCCTGTAATCCCAGCTACTGGGAAGGCTGAGGCAGGAGAATCACATGAACCCAGAAGGCACAGGTTGCAGTGAGCCGAGATCGTGCCACTATACTCCAGCCTGGACAACAGAGCAATACTCTGTCTCAAAAAAAAAAAAAAAAAAAAAAGAACAGCTATGTTGTTTGTCAGTATGAGATAGATTTATATGTTCTGACTTGGAAAGATGAATCTTAGAGGTATTATGTGGAAAAGAACATTATGAATACTATGTATAACACAGTCCCCCCTGGCTAGCAGTGGCTCACGTCTGTAATCCCAACACTTTGGGAAGCTGAGGTGGGAGGTTTGCTTGAGGCCAGTAGTTCAAGACCATCCTGGGCAACAGAGCAAAATCCTAACCTTAAAAAAAAAAGATGAAGAAATCATCTGGGCGACTCTTCTGCAAACTGTTAATAGTGGTGATGTTTTTAATTTACAAAAATAAGCAGGTATGTCTTTCCTAATCAGAAGAAACAAAAGTAACAAAATAATCAGCTTAAGAAGGCAGAGAGTATTTAATATATTTTAGAAAAATTTGGTCCTTGTTTAATGGGTAAGTGAATTTTAAACTTACATAGAATGTCTCCTACCTTGACAGTTTGGATAAATTATTTATCACTGTACATGAACATCAGGCACTCTTTATAACAGATACTCCAGTTTGGTGTCAATAACTCTTTTTCCGAATCCTGATCAGTTTCCCCCAATCATTATAATGAATTTATATACATATTGGGATTTGTGGCAACATTTTTGTTTCTTTGGCCTCATCCCCTAATTCTTTAAAAGTGTTATTTGCTTGTGGTATATTACAAGTGGGAGATTCAATAATTTTCTCTTACAAGCAAATTTATTTTTGTTTTAAGATTTAGATTTTAAACCTACTGGCTGATATTTGAAAGCATAACCATGCTCCTCAGTCCCAGTGTATTGTTTGTAATTGGTCCAATTTATCTGATTCAGGTGCATTGTGGCCAGGTATGAAACCTGAAAGTGGTTTAATTCAGACTCCATCTCCAAGTCAACACAGTGTTCTTACCTGCACTACAGGGTTAACCACAAGCCAGCCAAGCCCAGCACATTATTCTTATCCCATTCAAGGTAAATAGGCATGGTTGTGTGTGTGTTTTTAAATTATTATTATTGTTTCTTGCTTTTAATCTACCTGTGTCTCCAAACAAATTGGATAATACAGGAGCTCTGTCTTCTAAAATAGAAAGGGGTGATTCTTGGATTAGTGCATGCTTTTTGTGTTAGGCAAACCACAGTTTAGAAGTGTGGTTTATAAGTAGTATAGACTTTGAATTCGAACTGCTTAATAGAATTGAAACTTTCCCTTTGCATGTTGGGGTCCAGAAAACCCCTTGATTTTGTTCTAGTCTATTTTCAGTGGCATTTTGTCCTATAAATGAGCAGAAGACTCATGGGTTGGAATTTTGCTGACCTATGTGAATTGTCATAGCAGTATATGAGGTGTGTGCTGCTTTTCTGCTGTGTCTTTGTCACACTTACACCCTGTTTACTACTTGATGAGAGCATTTCTCTTCCTCAAGAAGTTCATTCTTACTTCTCTTTCAGGATAAAAAGCATGGTACTAAAGCTTAAACATCTTTACCTTCCAAGTTCTTCCTCTAACAGAGTTAGGATTACAACAAGACTATTAGGAAAGAAGACAAAAAACTCAAAAGGCACTATGGAATTAATTGCCTATCCTTCTAAATCCAATGCAGACAATTTGTCTTTGCTGCAGACTGGGATTAGTGTCCTTATACCTGGCTTCTCATCTGCCTCCTTTCTCCTCATGTTTCCCAGCTTTTAAATCTTATTTCTTATAAAATGGATAGTAAAGGGATTAGTATGAGACCTCAAAAACCTATCTGAGGTACTCTTAATGTGTAAACTTTGGTGATAAAAAAAAGTTTTGATGTAAATTAATTAGATTTTTATTTTCAGTTTTAACTGTTTTCAGAAGTGTTTGAAAACTACTTCTCCTTGGTCCAATGGAAACAACTGGTCTCTATTTTTTAAGACCTTCGTCTGAGCTACTTTTACCTCCTTTTTACCAAGTCTCTTCTTTACTTGTTTCCTCCTCCTCCTCTTCCTCCTTTCTTTCTTCTTCTTCCTTTCTTCTTCTTCTTCCTCTTCTTCTTCCTCTTCCTCCCCTCCTCCTCCTCCTCCTCCTCCTCCTTTCTCCTCCTCCTCCCCCTCCTCCTCCTCCCCCCCCTCCCCCCCCCTCCCTTCTTC